ACAATTTTATACAGTTCTGAGAAGCAAATTTGACGTTTGAGGCAATGCAGACAATTTGTATTTATACATGTTGTTGTATAGGCATCCCATGCAGCCAAGATTAAAGGGAAGGTTGTGTATTTGCTGCCTCTTTGTAAATATGCATACATAAACATCATAGAATTTATTTATACACTTATCTTTCCTTATATACATAGATAATAGAATTGCAGTCTGATGATTGATAATTTTTAAAAAGTTCTTTATATACATCAAACGCATAAACATATTTACAAATCAGTTTGTTATTGCACTTTTTCTGAAACACGATTTCCATCAATAATTCTATTTAAATTTATAACGTGTTTATTCACACGTATAAATTCGTGTTTATTCGCACGTATTCAGTAAACCTGAAATAAACGGACTAGAGTAAATACAAGAAACGGAGCTATTCAAACAACAAAGTTGTTTGAAATAAAAATTTCTTTTCCTCATTAGTGATTTTTCATATTAAATGAAGTAAAAATTATTCAGTCTCCAATAATTCTTTCTTGAAAATAAGTTAGTACAATAAAATCCATCTACGATATTTTTTACTTCAGAAAATAATGCATATTTTCCATAATATTCAGCGTATTAATAACTTTCATCATAATAAATTTGTTTAGGGAATTTGCTTGCTACACTCCCACCCTAATTCAGAATAAAGTCTTCCTTAGGGTGTCCCTGCAGCATTATATACAATGCCATTACGTCAACATTACCTTATAGAAAAAAAAATAAGACCATAATTTTCATGAAATGCCGAAATCCTCCTGAAAAACAATTTCACAGCGAACCAGATCAAAAATAAAATAAAAATTCTTTTGAAAGGTTTTTTTCAAGTATTTTCCTCTTTTGTACAAAAAGAAACCAAATCAAAGGATAGAATAAAAAGGACAGATAGAATGCGCGAAAACATAATATTGTGATAGAAAATCATGACACTTGGGGTTCCTCTCGATTTATCAGTTTCTATGAACTGGTTGTTTTTTACAATGCACTGATTTTTCGGCAATAATTAAATGACCCATACACCACTCCTTTCATGTTCGATCTCGTTGTTCTCAAAGTAAAAAAAACAGCATTTTCTTCTCAGCAATATATTTTTGAGCTGCTCCTATCTCTGCAGAAAAATTGCTCTACAGATGCGATTTAATCATGAATTTTGGGTGGAAAGTGGATTGAAACGTAAGATGAGGTAGGAATTGAGTTTGCTTTTATCTTGTACATTATATATTATTTATATTACAAAAAATATGTGTATTCATCTAAATATAAATTAAATAAAATTGCTGATAATGAAATTAATTTTCTCCTCTCTATTTTATATATAATTCGAATAATTAATAAGGATAAATGATAGGCTAAAGCGTCTTTTCGTGATAAGTTCCTATAATTTTGAACAACATAATATTAAATCTCGTTATGTGATTTAATATCTCACTTTTGTGTTTTCTCTGGTTGGATCTTTTTTAAAACATATAATGAAAACGAACAAATAAAATCAAATAGTTTTCATAGAAAATTCCATGGAAAAAATACACAGTCCAGTCACATTAATGTGGCCACCACCGACTTTGGACATCAACATGAAATAACCAATCGCAAAAGGCAGGTTGCAGCACATTGCAGTGGAGTGTATATAAAGGATGTCCTAGGGCATCGGAAAGCATTTCAATCGTTGATGTAATGCAGAAACGTAGCAATTTATCCGACGTCAAAAGGGCATGATTATTGGCTTTCGGGAACAAGGGTGGAAGCATTGCGGAAACGTCTAATTTTGTGAACAGTGTATACCGTTTTAATTTTGTGAACTGTGTACATGTGAAAGTATACCGTGCATTGTAAAATTGCACTATCCAAAATCAGCGGCGTGGTACATGTGGTGCAACACGGGCTATAGATGACAGAGGCGAAAGAAAGGCTACGGAGATGCGTTCGGACGAATAGACGTGCAACTGTTGAGCAACTGACAGCCCAGATGAACCGAGGGGCTACCAAGAGTGTATCCTCAATAACGGTTCCTCGAACGTTGCTGCGCATGGACTTCCGCAGCAGACGCCTGGTTAATGCACCTATGCTGACTGTAGTTCATCGGCGACGAAGGATGAAATTTGCACGCCAGTACCGAAACTGGACGTCCGCAGAGTGGTGATAGGTGGCTTTTTCTGATGAATCGCGTTTTATGCTCCATCGGACATATGAACGTTGGCGTATACGGCGTGAAACGTCTGAAAGCAAACACTCTGCAATAATTGCTGGAAGGATCCAAGCTGGAAGAGGGAGCATTATGGTTTGGGAAATGTTTTCCTGGCATTCACTGGGTGCACTCATCATTGTGGAAGGCACGATGGATCAGCACAAGTACCCATCTGTCCTTGCGAATCATATCCACCCCTGCATGCGAATTATTTTTCCTCAGAATGATGGCATCTACCAGCAGGACGATGCGAGGTTCATATATCGTGCGTGGTTCGAAGAGCATCAGGATGAGTTTACCGTACTCCCCTGGCCAGCAAACTCACCGGATTTAAACCCAATCGTGAATCTGTGGGACCACTTCGCTCGGGTTGTTCGCGGCATAGATTCTCAACAGCGTAATCTAGTAGCTGGCCATGGCACTGGAGTCGGCATGGCTCAACATCCCAGTGAGCACCTTCAGAAACCTAAGTAACTCTTTTCCTCACTCTCTGCCAAAGGTGGTTATTCTGGCTTTTGACAGGTGGTCACATTAATGTGGCTGGACTGTGTATGTACGTCTACTCACCCAGTGATTTTTCAATTGATTTTAGCACATTGACTATGACATTTCGTTTTCATAATGCATGTTTAAAATGCATAACAGAAAAGGAAATGAAAATTGAAAATTTATGAAAGTTCATAAATCTTATTAAAATATTTTCTGTTTTTGTTATATATTCATATATTAACTATTGTTTTGTATTTTTATTGGATTTTTATTTGACAATTCACTTTTTTTTAAAAATAAAATAATTTTTATTTATCAAGCATTTTTGTACTTTTCCGATCTTTAAATCTTATAGAAGATGCTCATAAAAAGGAATTCTTTGAATCCATCAACTAAGTCACTATAAACCTGCTTAATCTTCCTGTTTTAGAGTTACACTTAATTTGACTTTTTCATGACCAGAACCAATTAGTTTACATAAAGCGACATATTATTCAAAACTGATACTTATATATGCAAAATTATCAACGATTAGCGTAATTATCACACATAGGTGCTTTTGCACTGCATGTCACATAGCTTTCATTTTCAATCATTCGTTTCCAGATGCAAAATTATCACCAATTACTGCAATTATTATACACAGGCATTGCCGCATCTCTTTCAATTTTAATTATTCGTTTCAAAATTCTCAGCAATTATTGCAAGAATAAGCAATTTAAAAACAAGTATGCAAGTATTCTAGAGTCTTGAAAGAAGTTTAGAATTACCCCTAATTTGAAACACCCACTTTTTCATTACCGGAATCAATTGGTTTACATAAAACGTCATATAACGCAAAACCGGATGCTTATAGTATATGTAAAATTATCAAAATTAGTGTAATTAGTGTAAATTAGTGTAATTATTACACTTAGGCGCTGTCTCATTGTGCATTGCATAGATTTCACTTCCAATCATTTGTTTCCAGATGCAAAATTATCAATAATTACTGCTGTTATTATACACAGGTACTGCCACTCTGTGTGTCACATCTGTTTCACTTTTAATCATTTGTTTCAAAATTATCAGCAATTGCTGACAGAATAAGCAATTTATGAACAAGTATGCAGGTATCATAGAGTCTTAGTAGTTTGAGTGTTCCGAAGCATTGGCAGCGCAGCTGCCATTTACTCCTTTCTTGATCTGGAGAGCTTTGAGGATGGAGATCAGGGGAGAGAATGATACCTTGCCCAAGTTTAGGATAAGTTGATGACAATAAAAATAAAGAGTATAAGTAAGTAGTGAAAGGGAACAGGATTTTAAAAATCCTCTAAAGATCTAAGTATATAAAAAGAGTAAAGGAGTTATAAAAAAGAATACTTAAAAGATTTAAAAGAATTGATATATATAAAATTTTTACAATTTTATAAGATATTATATAATTTTATATGAAATTTTGAGATTTTATAATTTTTATTTGTTTTTGTATTTTAAATTTTTTATTTTTTATTTTATATAGATTTTTTTATTTATTTTTTAATTATTATTATTTTTTTATATATATATATATATTTTATATATTTTTTTTTTTTTTTTATTCATAATTAATACTTTTATTAATTATATCATAGAGTCTTAAAAAGCAACAACAAATTATACGTATCAATCCTTTAAATTATATACGAACAAGTTAAGATTGCGATGCCAGAATTTTATTTGCTATATTACTGCAACTACTTCAATGTTGCTATTCATTTAAATAAATCAGGTATTATGTACAGTACTCCAAAAACCTGCATGGATGTTTGTTAGTGATTCGGAATCCGTGTTAAATATTAGGTCCCGGTTTAATTCGCCTGAAGTGAGCACAAAACGACCGTAGAGCGGCAAACCAAACCAAAAACCTTTTTTCCTTAGTCATGCAAGCTTTCCATGCATTTGTTATTTTTTTTTGTACTTTATTCTATGTCTTAGTGACTTTATATGAATCTCGCCCCAAAACACACACACCTCGAACACTAAAAAATTATTCGTTGTTGTTGTTTCTTATCCCACTTGGCTGGCCAAGCCCATACGTACTCATGATTGAAGGGGAAGGAAGCAGTTTCTGTTGTGATGGAGGTAGAAGTCTGACTTTGGCTCCGTGACGCTCTTACAGTCATAGGAGACCGGGACCTACGGCTTAAAGTGGATTCCGAACCACTACAAACATCCATGGCACCGCCGGGATTCGAACCGAAACCTGTGGCACCGAGCGCCAGAGCGCTAGACACTCGGCCATTCAGGTCCCAAATTTGTGAATGCCAACAGCACACGGTGTTCCCAGGTGGTCACCCACCCAAGTACTGACCGCGCCCAACGATGCTTGATTTCGGTGATTACATTGGTATTATGCTCTAGTTATCTTTTTAATATCTGCGACACCACTTTATTTAGTACCTGAGGTTATAAGCCTTTAAGGCATTGGTGCCTCATTCCTCACCCCCGACTGACTTGACTTCGTTGATCTAACGAGAACCGGTATATTCAGCATGGTACAGCCGTTGGCTACTGGAAATTATTCGTACGACATTAATATACATATATATTCTTATATACAATGAACTTGACCTTTGAGAGGGTTTTCAATAAAAAGATACTTCGTGTGAACCCTTTTAGAATCTACTTACTATTTACAATTTCTTTTATTATTTACTAATTAAATATTTTTGACTGTTATTTGAAAAGTTATGTTTTAAGAACTATTTCTATTAAATTATTCTTATCACAACAAAGCTTTCAACTGGAGATTTTCTTAACAATTCAGATAGCCATACTTCAGAAAGAAATAATAATAAAAAATATTAAAATAGTTATCACTTTAAAAAGATTTACTCATTATTACAGAGTGCATGCAGATCTTCGTGGAAAGCAATGTCTTCTCTTTAATATCCATTTCTACCGTCAATTCATGCACATAGCAGGACTTGAAGTTCATCCGTGTTCAACAATAAAATGCTATATAATTAAAAATTAAAGAATTAGAATTTATTAATTTATTTATTAATTAGACTAAATTAAAGTCTATTCTTATTTATTAATTAGACTAAATTAAAGACTATTCTTATTTATTAATTTATTTAAGATTGACTATTATAGTTCTAAATTTATTTAAGACTAGTCTTATTTATTAATTAGACAAATTCATTTTAATTTTTTGGCTAGACGCAAAATTAAAGAAAAGTAACTTCAGGAAGAAAGTTTGTACGCTAAGTGTTACATTTTTTTAATTAAATTGAAATTCCCTACATATAAAAGCCCATTTATAGATAAAGAGAGATTTTCGTTTAGAATTTATTCGTTAGAATTAGAATTCGTTTAGAATTTATTTCGTTTAGAATTAGAATTTATTAATTTATTTATTAATTAGACTAAATTAAAGACTATTCTTATTTATTAATTAGACTAAATTAAAGACTATTCTTATTTATTAATTAGACTAAATTAAAGACTATTCTTATTTATTAATTTATTTAAGATTGACTATTATAGTTCTAAATTTATTTAAGACTAGTCTTATTTATTAATTAGACAAATTCATTTTAATTTTTTTGGCTAGACGCAAAATTAAAGAAAAGTAACTTCAGGAAGAAAGTTTGTACGCTAAGTGTTACATTTTTTAATTAAATTGAAATTCCCTACATATAAAAGCCCATTTATAGATAAAAGAGATTTTCGTTTAGAATTTATTCGTTAGAATTAGAATTCGTTTAGAATTTATTTCGTTTAGAATTAGAATTTATTAATTTATTTATTAATTAGACTAAATTAAAGACTATTCTTATTTATTAATTAGACTAAATTAAAGACTATTCTTATTTATTAATTTATTTAAGATTGACTATTATAGTTCTAAATTTATTTAAGACTAGTCTTATTTATTAATTAGAAAATTCATTTTAATTTTTTGGCTAGACGCAAAATTAAAGAAAAGTAACTTCAGGAAGAAAGTTTGTACGCTAAGTGTTACATTTTTTTAATTAAATTGAAATTCAACATATAAAACCTCCATTTATAGATAAAGAGAGATTTTCGTTTAGAATTTATTCGTTAGAATTAGAATTCGTTTAGAATTTATTTCCTGTTTAGAATTAGAATTTATTAATTTATTTATTAATTAGACTAAATTAAAGACTATTCTTATTTATTAATTAGACTAAATTAAAAGACTATTCTTATTTATTAATTAGACTAAATTAAAGACTATTCTTATTTATTAATTTATTTAAGATTGACTATTATAGTTCTAAATTTATTTAAGACTAGTCTTATTTATTAATTAGACAAATTCATTTTAATTTTTTATTAGACGCAAAATTAAAGAAAAGTAATTCAGGAAGAAAGTTTGTACGCTAAGTGTTACATTTTTTTAATTAAATTGAAATTCCCTACATATAAAAGCCCATTTATAGATAAAGAGAGATTTTCGTTTAGAATTTATTTTCGTTAGAATTAGAATTCGTTTAGAATTTATTTCGTTTAGAATTAGAATTTATTAATTTATTTATTAATTAGACTAAATTAAAGACTATTCTTATTTATTAATTAGACTAAATTAAAGACTATTCTTATTTATTAATTTATTTAAGATTGACTATTATAGTTCTAAATTTATTTAAGACTAGTCTGCCTATTTATTAATTCAAATTCATTTTAATTTTTTTTGGTTAGACGCAAAATTAAAGAAAAGTAACTTCAGGAAGAAAGTTTGTACGCTAAGTGTTACATTTTTTAATTAAATTGAAATTCTACATATAAAAGCCCATTTATAGATAAAGAGAGATTTTCGTTTAGAATTTATTCGTTAGAATTAGAATTCGTTTAGAATTTATTTCGTTTAGAATTAGAATTTATTAATTTATTTATTAATTAGACTAAATTAAAGACTATTCTTATTTATTAATTAGACTAAATTAAAGACTATTCTTATTTATTAATTAGACTAAATTAAAGACTATTCTTATTTATTAATTTATTTAAGATTGACTATTATAGTTCTAAATTTATTTAAGACTAGTCTTATTTATTAATTAGACAAATTCATTTTAATTTTTTGGCTAGACGCAAAATTAAAGAAAAGTAACTTCAGGAAGAAAGTTTGTACGCTAAGTGTTACATTTTTTTAATTAAATTGAAATTCCCTACATATAAAAGCCCATTTATAGATAAAGAGAGATTTTCGTTTAGAATTTATTCGTTAGAATTAGAATTCGTTTAGAATTTATTTCGTTTAGAATTAGAATTTATTAATTTATTTATTAATTAGACTAAATTAAAGACTATTCTTATTTATTAATTAGACTAAATTAAAGACTATTCTTATTTATTAATTAGACTAAATTAAAGACTATTCTTATTTATTAATTAGACTAAATTAAAGACTATTCTTATTTATTAATTTATTTAAGATTGACTATTCTAGTTCTTATTTATTTAAGACTAGTCTTATTTATTAATTAGACAAATTCATTTTAATTTTTTGGCTAGACGCAAAATTAAAGAAAAGTAACTCCAGGAAGAAAATTTGTACGCTAAGTGTTACATTTTTTTAATTAAATTAAAATTCCCTACATATAAAGGCCCATTTAAAAATAAAGAGAGATTTTCGTTTCTGAAACCATATTGCAGATTAATTCAAGACTTACAACCATATTATATATAATATGCAGCCATATTACATACTAAGACGTTTCTAAACCATATACCATATTACAATAATCCAAAACAAAGTTTTCTCATTTTAAAAGAAATATTTGTATAAAACAATTTGAAAATGTTAGTACTTACAAAAATTACTAAGAGATCAGCAATCTTTTGAGAGTTGTCTTTTGAAATGTTAGCTCACTTACTTTATAATTAGTTTTATAAAAATTAATCAAAATTATGTAAAATTAAATATTATTAACACCTGTGAAAAAATTGGAAAACATTTCTATACAAAATAAATCAAATCAAATTTTTAAATAGAAGATTTTTAAAAACCATTTGTAGTTCATTTTAATTACAAAAACAAAATCAAATATTTATACATTTTTCTAAAATAAAGCAAGTTTAAAGTAATTTGATGGCATCAAATAATATCTGGAAACTGTTTTGATTGAATAATTCTTTGTCAACAAATATAAATTTCTCTTTTCAATTGATTTTGTCATTTGATAAAACCTAATTAATTAAAAAAATTGTATTTTTTATTAAAAACAGTACTCAGAATACTGGAGGATATCTTAAAGAAATAACTTTAATATGAGTTACTAAACGTGTTTATTCACCTGTTCTTTGAGCAAACATTATTTTATTGCACTTCGATTGTTATATGCTTACGCAGGATTTATGTTGTAATAGTTTATGAACGTTTGTGGTTCGGTGGTCTAGGGGTATGATTCTCGCTTAGGGTGCGAGAGGTCCCGGGTTCAAATCCCGGCCGAACCCAATGTTTTTTTTTTATTTGTTTTTTGTCTTTCTGTAATTAAATGCAAATTTTTTTAAATGATTCGCAATATTCCACGACAGATCTTATATTCCCAAGTAATATGGCACGAAATCCCTTTGCAATAAGATCTATGCTTCTCAGCAGTTAATTACAATGATATAAAGATTTTAATATCTTTTTTGGGGGAAGGAGGGTGAAATAAAATTCACTCTCTCAGATCTGTAGGTGGGTACATTCATGCCTATCATAAATATCGTTGTAGAGGTGATATGCTGGAATACTTAATCAATTAAATAACTACTCGATACTACTACTACAATTCGATTTCGGACTCTACGATAATTATTAGTCTGCAAAAACAATTACCAAAAAGAAAGGACATCCCGGCTCGTCAATTTATTGTAATATTTATAATGCCTTAATTATATTTGTTTCTCAATTCGTATTTTTTATAGTTTATGCTTCAACAAAACATTTAAAATATTTGTGTGAATGAGATTAAAAATTGCTTTAAAAATGCTTTAGAAATTAAATGTTATTTTCGGCAATATTTATCATTGTGTTCTTTTTCTTTAAATTTGTTTTTTTCATTTTTTTTTTTTTTTTTTTTTTTTTTTTTTTTTTTTTTTTTTTTTTTTTTTTTCATTTCATTCTCTTAAAAATCTTTTACTTTCATTTTTTAATTTAGCACTTAGAAATAAATTAAGTAACAATATGAACTATTTTTGTTATTCTCAATCTTTTGATAACACTGATCTATAGGAAATAGTACAAGAAATGATATTTTTTAAATAAAAAAATTAAGGTAAAATTTATTGACCTTTAAGAAATAATTTTAGTGTTATTGATTAATATGAAACAATTGTATGGATAATATTATGGCTCTGTTATTGATTTATTTTTATATAAGT